AGCTGTGTCATCCTGAGCCCAGAGGACCCAATGCCCCCCATCAGAACAGTCTGCAACCAGAGTGCCACCACTGGTGACAATGCGGACATGCTGGTGTTGCTGTCCGTGTCCCCAAAGGAGGTTCGACCCGACGCCCGACCACCCTAAGGCCATACAAAAAGATTTTGTGCTTCCAACCAGAGTCAAAAAGCCACATTTGTGGGGACCAGGGACACCACTGTGTCTGCACACATCACTGAGTGGGGGGGAAGGGGAGGCCAAAACCAAAGTCAGACAGAAAATGGGGACAGCACTCTCCATCCCTGTCACGGCTGCAGTGGCCATAGCCAGAGGAGGAGAGGAGCCCCAGCGGATGATGTCCCCTTGCACCGTAGCACCGCTGCCCCTGGCCACCACTGCCTTCCGAGGCACCGCCTGACATCCTCCCTGGTCCTTGGGCAGGTGTGGCTTTCAGAAAAGCAGGGCCCTCATGCTGCCCACCTCACTCTGCTCCTGGATGAATATCTCGAAGGACTGGGAGGTGACGGTGACCACCAGCAGGATCCCGATCCCACCACTGAGGGTGCCCAGTAAGTCATCCAGGACCAAGAAGGCCCGGACGCACAGGCACCGAAGGCTGTGCGGATGCATCTGGGGGAGGGCAGGTGGTCAGCCCCAAGGCACCACAGAGCCCTCAAGCTGGCCATCAGGCTTGCCCATGACTGAGACCAGAAACTCAGGAGGCCCCACCACCTCCCTGGATCATCATCTGCTAACATCCTTGTGCCTCCACTAATGCTATGGGACCTAGTCCCTGCTAGGGGACTGTGACTAGTCCAAACTGAAAGGCTGCCAGATGCAGTGGTCCACGCCTGTCATCCCAGCAACTCGGGAGGCTGATTCAGGAGGATCGCAAGGTGGAGGCCAGCTTCAGCTACTTTGCAAGGCCCTAAGTAGCTCAACAAGTCCCTGTGTCTAAATAAAATATAAAAAGGCTATGGATGGGGCTCAGAGGTCAAGTGACCCTGGGTTTGGTCTTTAAAATAGGGGGCTGGGGGACTGGGGATGAGACTCTAATGCTGAAGATGTCTTTCAAAATGACCACTGTCCCTACCAAGGACTAGAAAGCAACCTAGGATTTGCAATTGTGGCTTTTCACGTGATTGCTTCTTTCAGGAAAAGTTACCAAGTGAGAGCCCAAAGGACAACCTGGTCTGCCACTTGACTTTGTAAACAGTCCTGCTCACTGTGGCTGCTACCCAGTGGCAAAGGAAGAGCTTAGAAAATAGCGGAGAGCCCTAGGGAGAGCAGAGGCAGCCCTCCATCCAGGACAAGGCACAGCTACAGTGGGCAATACTCCTGCCCTGGGCTTCTGCCACCTGGGGCCTCTCTTCACCCTTCCTCCTCTCCATCACAAGGTGACAGCCTCACAGACCACTTGGCCATGACCCAACTGGTCTCTGACCTCCTCTTTGCCAGGGCCTTGTCCACTAGCACTGACCTCTCTGCTTCCAAAACCACCAGCCCTCTGCGGCTCTGCTGGCCTCTCAGCCACAGCCACCATCTGTTTTTTTTTTTTTTTTCAATCTTGGGGATGGAACCCAGGGGTGCTCCACCCCTGAGCCACATCCCCAGTCCTTTTTTTTGCATTTTGTATTTTACACATGCCCAGCAGCACCCAGGAGGAACCCTTGCAACTGCCCTCACATGCATGTTGTGGGTTTGACTTTTTACTGGGAGCTGCTGATCAGTGGATGTAGGGAAGATGGGTGAGAACAGTGAAAGCCTGGCATGTGGCTCCCACCCAAACTCCTCTGGACTTGTGTCTCTGTTTAGAGGAGAGGGGACACACTGCATAATCACCCAGGAACAGCTGAGAGCAGAGCCAGACTGGGTGATGCTAGTCATGTACACACTGAATACACTGATTTTTTTTCTGGAAGCTGATTATTTCAATAAAACTAATGGACAGTCTTCCTGGAGCACTGGTGGGCAAAGGAACAGTTGATGGGCTTCCCTCCGTCTATTCATTCATGGGAACATACATGTTAAAAGCCACTGTCCATCTCCTGTGAGGTTGAAATTCTTATGGGAGACAGGATGTTAATGAGTGAGCGGATTATAAGGGATATTAGTGACAGTACCATGAGAATGGGCAGAGAGACAGAACAGGGGTGATGATAGTGCAGAAATAGCAGATGGAGACAAACACTCTGGAAAATTTGGCATGTGACCAGAAGCTGGCTTCTGTGTGAGAAATGTGTCCATCAGGCAAAGGGCATGGCCAGCTCAAAGTCTGGGGTGGAAGAGGCCCTCATGTGCTCTGGGAAGGCTCTGGAAACCATGTGGCTGATGCAGATGGCTGATGGAGAAGGCAGGTGGAGGGACAGAGGAAGGGCAGGTGGAGGGGAAGAGGGAGGGAGGGTGGGGGACTGAAGAAGGGCAGGTGGAGGGTCAGGTGGAAGGGCAGACGAAGGGCAAGAGGACGGACAGGTTGAGGGGCAGTGAGGGGCAGGTGGAGGAGCAAGTGGAGGGGCAAAAGAGGAGAAGATGGAGGGGCAGAGGAGGGACAGATGGAGGGGCAGATGGAGGGGCAGGTAGAAGGGCAGGTTATGGAGCAGGTAAAAGGGCAGAGGAAGGGTAGGCGGATGGGCAAGTGAAGGGGCAGAAGAGGAGCAGGTGGAGGGGCAAATGAAAGGGCAGAGGAGGGGCAGAGGAAGGGCAGGTGGAGGGGCAGAGGAGGTGCAGGTTGAGGGGAAAAGGAGGGGCAGAGGAGGCGCAGTACAGTGGCAGGTGGAAGAGCAGGTGGAGGGGCAGAGGAGGGGCAGGTGGAGGAGCAGGTAGAGGGGAAAAGGAGAAGCAGGTGGAGGGAGAGTTGTGACCCCCTGGAGCAGAACTCTGAGGACAAGGGCAGTGTTGCCTTTCACAGGAGGAGAGTGGGGGGCTTGCTGGGTTTGAGCAGAGGACACCCATGATGGGACCCATAAGTCCAAAAGTTCTGCTCTGTCTGCAAATAGGCCTCAGGGGCAGAGATTACCTGGGAGTGCAGTCATGAGGCTCCTGCAGGACCTGGGGGGCAGCTGGCCAGGTGAGAAGTGGACCCCTTTCCTGCTGCTGCCATAACCAATCAGCACAAGCTCCCGGCTGGACAGCAGGAATTTCTTGTCCCGGAGCTGGAGGTCAGAAGTCTTGAGAAGGTGTGAGTAGGGCTATGATCCCTCCCCAGTCTCCAGAGTAAGACCATTCCCTAAGTTTTTCCTGCTTCTGAGGCTGCCAAAGCTCTGCCTGGTGGACTCTTTTTCCATCTGAAAATCATCAGGGTCCCATCTTTAGATTCCTCTCTGTCATCTCATCCCTGCCACCCTATCTCCTCTGTTATCATCATCTCACTCCTTCTCTGGCTCTGGCCTTGCTTCTACCTTCTTCTGAGGCCAACTGTGAGCCCTGAGTAACCCAGGATTCTCAACCCATATCAGGAAGCTTAGCCACATCCTCAAAGCCCCTTTTCTATGGGAGATGACAGGTTTCCAGGTCCCAAGTATGGTGACAAGTTTGGGGAGGTCATTGATCAGCCTCATGGGTCAGAATCTGAACAGATTTCAGAGTCAATCCAAAGGATTTCCAGGTGTGGTGGATGTGGGGTAAGATGAAGCAATGGACCACAGGCAGCCAGGGGGTGACAACCGGAGCAACAGGAAGAATGGAGAAACCATCTTTGCAGAAGCATCGGCAGTGGGAGGAATGGAGGGACCCAGTACTATTTGAGATGCTGCTAAGAGTGGCCTGGGCAGCCCTGGGGAGAGCAGGGTCACTGGTGATTTTCTGTGCTGTGGGACCCCTGGAGCCTGCTCATGCAGAAGGCTATTTGTACCCAGGAGAGGAACATGCCCCTGGGAAGTGGAAGGACTGGTGACATGTCACTGGGGTTTCACAGGAAAAAAAAACAGATTATTGAAGAGCCTGAGTTCTCACTTGAGTGGCCAGGGACTAGAATCTGTGGTAATTTGGACATGAATATCAATGGCACGTTGTCCACTGTGACAGATTTGTGAGAGATAAGTGTGTGTGTGCACCAGTGTGTGTACATGTGCAAATTATGGCCTCAATTATACTAAGCTTAGTATAAGAATACTAATTTTTAAAATTATTCCCCCAAAATATATATTCAATGCTTACCTCTGAGAGGTAGGATTTGGGGTGATTTATGCTCATTTTCTAAATAATCCACAGCATGCAATATTAAAGCTGTATTACCTGAGATGAACACATCAGATGGAGATGACATTACCCAAATAGAAACGATCTTACCTGGGAACGAACAATGGTTCCTACTTAACAATTGAATCCTCCCCAAAACAGAATCCATTTTCTCCTTTGAAACTAGGGGTCCATTTAAGGATCAAATAATTTAACATTTGTGTATCAGTTGAGGTGGGTTTTGCTATAGATAATAAAGCATGACCACAGTAGCTCAAATAACAAACACTTATATTCTTTATATACTGAGATGCTTGGGAACAGATCATTTTAATATTGGCCCTTAATTGTCGGATGGCCCTCTGACAGAGGTTGAGGAGAATCACTAGACCATCTAATGAGTGTCTCCGGGCTGAGCGAGAGGGTGAGTGTTGCGACCCGGTCCGCCACCCTGCCTGGCAAAAATCACACCAAGTTGAGAGTTGAGTCAGCCGAGATGGGGCAGCAACTCAGTTTATTGTGGAGGGAGAGGACTTATATAGAGAGAGGAGAAGGAGTGGGGGCAAAGGCAGGGGCAAATCAGAGATCAGAGAGTCCCCCAGGTTGGGGTAGCCTAGGCACCCCAGTTACAAAAACAGAGCCCCGTTACCCCAGTTACAGAAACAATACCCCATTAGGTATGTGTGCCTTGTTGCTGGGGAGTTATTCTTTGTGTTTGCAGAAGCCATATCTTGGGGCCATTCAGGCATGTATATGGAAGCTCTAACTGTCATGTACATGGAGAATCTCAAAAGCAGAATCACAAGACTGGGGATTTTTTGTCCCCAGCGATTGCACTCCCATGGTCAGCAGAGGTCCCAACACTCAATAATGCCTGCAGTAAGGCTTTTGATTCTTCAGCCGTTGGCTCACGGGCACAATTTGGCTGCTGCAGCTCTCACCATCATAGCTATTTCAAGGCAAGAAAAGGGGGGAAGAGAAAAGAGGGTGTAAGAATCAGAAAATCAAATGCTTTTTTAAATATCATCAGAAGAGTTCTATTTCTATTTCATTGCCTAGCTTTTGGCCAGTACAACAAAAATATGATCAAAGAGAAGAGTGTTAAATAATAAATGCTGTATTATCCAATAACCACTTTGTTCCACCCTGAAAAATCAAACACTGTGCCTGGACATTGGAGGTAATCTGGAAATGTTGGCCACTAGTACTTTCAGATGTTTAATAATGAGTGACATTGAAGGAAGTACTGGGTCTCCGTGTTTAAGAGTAGTTGTCTGTGCCAGGTGTCCTAGGGCCTGTTTCTTTTCCAGCCACCCACACCTGTTCAAGTGGCTCATGCCTCACTTCTCATCAGGAGAAGCCATGTGCAGTTGAGCCTGGCTTCATGGACAAGCTGGGGACATGTGAGGTCACTCACCAGAAACCAAATGGTCACTGAAGTCTCCTCAAGGTGCCTCCAATATCAGGCTCAGTGAACACGAGTGTCTGTGCAGACAGATGGCACAGAACTACCACCACCACACACCAGCCAGCTTTAGTCTGCAGAGTCATGTGTGGGGGCAGCACCTGGCCCTGGCCACCATCCCTGTCAATTATACCAGCCCTCAGTGGCCCCAGGCCTCTACCAGAGCAGACATCCAGCATGCCCAATCAGCCCTGTACAACCTTCTCAGGAAGCCCAAACAACACCACTGCCCCAGGGATCAATGTTGGTCAGCAGAGCCCCAAGTGGCCGTGAGACCCTGCCTGATGTGACCAGCTCAAAATCCCACCTTCCCCTGGGTACACTTGTCCCCCCCTCTGTGGTCACCTGGGGCTACTCATTGGGTCCCAGCCATGCTCACATCAAGAGAGGGTCCTAGATGTGCTAGGTCTGAACCCCTGAGGGAGCTGTGCCAGGTTGGCCTCCTGGTTGGTTGGAGGGCACACTGGTGGAGAAGGCTTGCTTTGGCAAGTGTTGATGAAGAGGCAGGTGCCAGAGGATGGGAAAAGGTCCTGAGTCACCTGGGCTGTGACCTTTGGAGATAGGAAGAAGAAAGAGGAGGGAGGGTCAAGATTCATGGGGTACCAGGAATTTCAGGAGGCTGAGGCATGGATGGCTGACCCGCAGAGCATCTGAGTGCATGGTCATTAGCTTCAGGGCCCCAGGCCTGTGCAGCTGGAGGTGAAGGATTACTCCTGTACTCACCACAATCCTTTCAGCCATAGGAAGCTCCTGCTCTCCTTCCCCAGGACAGAGTCAGCAACACTGAGTGGGGTGTCACAGGATGAGATACACCACACCATTCACCCCTGATAATGATGGATTGTGAATGGACCCTCCCCAGTGAACCTGTCAGAAGCTGAATGGTGGACATGCACACACACACACACACACACACACATACACAAATACACACATACACACACACACGCACACACACACACACACACACACACACCTTTTCTCAACCTTCTCCTTCCCATTAAACACAAGTCCATCTGTGAGTCACTTGTGTAAAAGTCTGGGATCACCTCTGACTCTTTTCCCCCATTCCATGTGTGATCTCTTTAAACTTGCTGCATCCTCCGTGGCCACCAGCCTACTCTGCCTACTCTCTCCAGCCACTGCATGGGACTCCTAATGGCTCTTTCTGCTCTGCACTTAGTCCTGCATCCTGCAATCTGCTCTCCACCCACAGCCAGAGGGACCTGGTGACAGCAGACACCATGCCTGACCTCATTGTTCAATGGCCAGTTCAATGAGCACTGTTCAATGCCCTCA